CAAATCAAATACAAATAAAAAGGAAATCTCTTCATATAAACAAACTAAGGCTTTGCCTGTGCTCTTTCCATTTAAAATGAGGCGACCACTGCCTTTTAATCACGACCCAAACAAAGAAGCTGAATACATGCAGCCCGAGCAATTTCAGATTTAAATAATTTTATAAATTTCAAAGTTTGCAGCAAAACCAGAATGCTCGGACTTTAGTTTTGTGAACCTATACTACATAACATCTGAATGAAACAAAACCAGCAGATGGACTGAGACGCAAACTCACTCTCTGACAGCAGGTGGCGCTTATGGAACAGCAGAACAAAGCAGCGCTGCCCTTAAAAACTCTGCTTTAACATGCATTACACAGAGACAAGATGAAAAAATACCATCTAAACAAGGGCTGCATGATTAATCGAATGCGATAGTCGTGCCCATCTCGTCAGTAAAGCCGGTTCTGTGATTAATAGTAAATCTCCATCACATGCTTTCAGATGGAGCAGCATTTACTTCACAGAGCCGTAGTTCACCGACAAGCTACGCAGTATCGCATTAATTATCACAGACGATTTAAATCACATGATAACGAAATCGAAGACATCGTTCTGCAATAATGACAGCCGTTTGAATAGCTTGTCAGTGAACTACGGCTCTGTTAAGTAAATGCTGCTCCATCTGAAAGCATGTGAAAATACCATGTTTTTACTTCAAACTCACTTCATAACATCAGTTGAGTGTTTGAAATAAATCCTTCTGTGAGATGTGGCTTCTTACACCGAATAAAGCACGCAACGTTTCATAGTATTCCAAGCAGTGATAAGGTCGATTAGCATTGCATTATTATATACTTTATAACAATGAAAATTATAATAAGAACTCAGATAAATCATATATTGTCGTAGTCATGTTGAATCAATGAAAGCAGTTAAATCTTCTGTTTATTCAGCTACCGCTATAGGGATCTCTTGGATTTCTTCTGTATTTGGCGTTTCAGCGCGAGAGCGCCCTCTAGCCTTCGAATGGAGATTTACTGCAGATCACAGAACTGTGCTTCACTGAAAGATACGCATGACAATCGCAGCTTCATCCTTATCGCGATTGATTTATCGTGCAGCCCTAATCTAAATTCTTCTGAAGACAGTCAGCTCCCCTCAGAGATACATTCATATAAACCCCCACACCCAACGGTACCGCAAATCGTTTAACATCGGCACATTTTTATCGATTTTCAACCGGCTCATGGTGCATCGTTACATCCCTATAACTTATTAATCCAGGACTTCCTACCTGACATATTCATGTATGTTCCTCTTGAGTGGATTTGAGCCATGTGGCAGAGGAGTGTAATGAGCCGTCCTGATGTTGAGCTTATCGAAGTTCTGTAGATAAGCAGGTTTAAAAAAAAGTCACAACAAGAACACAAAGCGGAAACGACTATATCAAAACCCAAGTTTGCACGCATGATCAGACACGTCTATTCGTCTTTGTCAGAACCGGCATGACCCTCGCACCAGCGCATCAGATCCCGCCGCGGTCGACCCAATAGAACATTGGAGCAGCCGAGCAGAACCAGACAGCTGTGACCCTGCGACCCAGAACGGACCACACAGCCGCTGAGGGACAGAACCAGCAGCGCTCAGCGAATGGATAAACACGTTCATCACGCCACACGTGCACTTGGTGAAAGGACCTGTGGGTAAACGGGACACCGACCTTCAGCAGTAACGGCCATTGAGACGTGTCCAAGCGTGCGACCTTAGATTCAGGTTTGATGAGGAAGTCTCCACTTTCTTGAATCTCCTGATGGCAACAAAAAAATGTTTTTAAAAATAAATAAATAAATTAGGAAGCGGATTTAGATGTAACATGTAGATTGAAATCAAGAGGTATTGTCACAAAACCAAAATTCAGTACTATAATAGTTCTGTACAAGTCATCAATTCTTGACACCAAAACAAGCTTTAATAATTTTAACACAAGTCTTAGAAACACGTAACTAAGATCGGTCTATTCAGTGGTCAAATACAGGGTTTCTGCAGGTTTTAGGATAAAACTTTACAAAAATGTGTCACACTGCAAAATGGGATGTTCTTACTCAGCATTTGTCTTGTTGACCAGTGATAATGTCTCAAGGTTCTCAAATCAAGATACATTTACTTTAAAATAACACAAAATGGCGTAAATCTTGTTTTCTGTAAACTAATCTGAATTAATGTGAATTTACCTTCTTTTTTTTTTTTATCTGCCAACGGGCTCAGAAAAATCTACATTTAAAAGGGAAGAGTTTTATCGACCAATATTTGTTCATGTTTTAAGTATAAATTCACATTTTGTGCTGCGTCTCAAAACAGGATTTCATATCTTAATTTTGCATTAAGGAAATCAAGTACCTTAAGATAAGGTCATCTATTTATTTGTATTAAAATCAAGACAAATATTGAAACATTTAAAAGGAACGCTCTACTATTTTTGAAAATAGGCTCATTTTCCGACTCCTAGAGTTAAACAGTTGAGTTTTACCGTTTTCGAATCCGTTCAGCCGATCTCCGGGTCTGGTGGTAGCACTTTTAGCTGTAGCTTAGCATAGATCATTGAATCTGATTAGACCGTTAGCGTCTCGCTCAAATGACCAAAGAGTTTCAATATTTTATCTATTTAAAACTTGCCTCTTCTGTAGTTACATCGTGTGCTAAGACCGAGGGAAAATTAAGCACAAATTAAATAAAAATTCATAAACGTGCATGCACATTAAAAAAAAGCATTACCCCAATTTCTCCTTCTGAGAACGTCTTCGTCTTTTTCTTCTTCTTAGCTGATCCAACTGAGGACAAAATAAAAATCACAGTCACAAATCATTTTAGCATGCATATTAATTTAGGGAAAAGCACAGCAGAGTTTAACTGCACACACAAAGCTTTGCTTGTAATTAGTTAGCAGTAGCTGCGGAACCACGTGGCGTGTGCGGCCAGCACGTGGAGTCGGACTTACTGATCTACCGATAGAGTTTAACTTTGCATGTTCCCTGATTGCATTATTAATTAAGACTGTTTATTCTTTTTTCTTTTAAAGAACAAGATATCAGGCGTCCACGCAAGCAGAAAAACATTTACTTTCCATAATACTAGCCAACTAATAACAGGTTATCTGTGTAGAGGAAACATGCTTAGATTTTCTACTACTGCTAATAGTAATAATATTAATGTCAGTACAACACATTTCTAAAATTAGATGCATACGCATAAGTCTAGCATTTCTAAACGCACCCGTGAAGTTGAGAACTCATCTTTTGATCGATTTACTTTTACACTTCTTAAAGCGCATAATAAAATTGCAAAGCAAAACATTTTAAGCAGCATCACAGAAATCGTAACAAAAATAACGCAAACGTGTAAAACATGCTCTTACTCTCGGAGTCCGCCATCTTCAGAGGACGCCGCACGTGTGACTGACTGACTGAGCGCGCGTGCGTATTTCTCTGCAGAGATCTCACATCTCGGGATATGAAGCATCGCGATATCATAACGCGTTATCAACGAGAAAAGTAGAGGCTCCTCCCCAGGGAACGAGAAAATCTCCCTTTGCTCCGGCTCTGCCTTTTCACTACAAAGTTCAAAATAAAAAATAAATTACTCCACAAATCCCTCATTAACAAATGCACACAAAACTTTCATATTCAACATAATACAATGTCACAGATCACTTACATGCAATCAGTTACTGTACCCAGCACTGCTTATAATGCGTCTATAAAATGTGTCGATGCATTCAAAAATTATGTTTGCATTGATTCCCAGTATGACTTTATCAAAAACAACGAATTTCAAGTAAACTAGAGTAGTGCACAAGCTAGAAAAGATGTTCTGGAAGTTGGGAAATAATATGATAAAATCAACTACATGAAAACATATCTTGGTTAAACTTACACCTTTACATTTTAAAATGTGAATTGCATTGATTTTCCACGTCCTCCTGCACTAGTGTATACTTTGCATTTATTGTGTGCATTTTATTTTTATCATGTACATTGTGTAGTGCTCACAAACGGTAAGTTCTTTGTGTAAACTAAAATTAATATAATCAAAAAGTGGTAGGACTGAAGTCAACAAGACAAAAAATGCAAGGAGATGAATTTATTTTCTAGAGGTAACATTGGTATTTTTGTGCATACATTCATTTAAGATCATTTTATATAGGATACCGGATGTTAAAATGCTACAGATTAAACATTTTTAAAAGGCTAGCAAAGATTAATGCAATAAAGCATATACATTTAAACTTTGTGAGATCTTTGCCATTATCTCAACCATGCATTCCCAGATCACTGTTAAGGCACAAACCCTTATTCGAGACAATTGTTATTGTGAACAAGAAACGGACACAAAAACAACAACTTTTTGCCTTTGTCACGCATGATCTTCACAACATGCATGTGTCACACAAACTAGACCAATGCCAACATTTGTAGTTAAAAAGTATAGAATTATTTATTTCTGAAACGGACTGATCATTTCACTGGAGAGGACTTTTGTTTGTCAGCTAGGGTCATGTGGATTACTTTGAATCGGTCTAGATACGGACTGAAGATGGTCTACAATGAGCACCATTCACTTGCATCAGATGATGAAAAATCCTGTCATGTTTTACTCTAAAACTTTCATTTCTCTTCAGCTGAAGTAAGAAAGACCAATACACCATGGATTGCCTGGGGGTGAGTAAATACTGAACTATATATATATATATATATATATGAACTATTTCCACGTTTCAAACATCATTCTTCGAAACAAAGGATCTTCTGATTTAATCTTTTAGTCGGTCTGTGTGAACAAAACCTTAAAATCAGACATTATAGCATAACCCTTTTTGAAATAAGTGCCTTTTCACCTCATTCTCTTGAGTTAATGCATGTCCCGACCATTTCTACAAAAAATACATCATTTAAATTAAACTATTACTACCATCTGTTTTTCTGTGGAAAGAAATCGTTATGGATCAAAAGATGCATCCTCTACAACCAACTCATTTAATTAAGATCATAAAATCTTTCAAACAAAGAGCGGAGTTGATGAGTAACACTGTTGTGATCCTCTGCGGTCCTAACGCTCGAGAAACCAAGGTGTTTTTGGTAAATGATGGCTGGGTAGTTTAGCATTAGGCGCTCAGGCCTGGAGCCCCAGAGAGCGAGCTGTGTTCAGCACATCGTCACGCGTCAGATAACATCCGCACAGCTGCCGCAGGCCGGTGAACGACTCTCTGCCATGCAGAACGCGCCAGTTATCGATGAACAGGACCTTGGAGAAAACAACAGTAGGTATGTTTACATGCACTGATTTTCAGCAACATGAAAACAGCAAATCTGATTCTGAGAGTTCGGTTTAGATGCAGCATATACTATCCAATCTGATTCACATACATATGCATTACATCTATTCTGAACAAAATTTCAGTCACTGCATTCAGAAATGCAGAAAGCCATTGTGAGAAAGGCACAGGAGCCACCATTTTTGCTTTGATGACATTAGGGCTGGGCGATATAGCAAAACAATGTATCAATGATATAATTTTTTATATCGTTCGGTATCGATAATTATTGACATTTTTTATAACCTTTTTTAAAACAGAGCAATAGAAAAAAAAAATTAAATTTAACCACTGTATTTATAATTAACACAATTTATTGAGACAACAACAAATAGTTTTTGTTTTAACAATCAAGCAATAAAAATTAAACAAATATCTAATTTCTAATGTTTTATATGAAGATTAAATAGGTCTTTATTGTATAGGTCTAATTGTCTCCCGAGGCCACAGCAGGACACAATGAGCAAAATAATGCAGCGCAATTAAATCGTCAACGCAAGGAAGTAACTCCATAAAAACGTGTACTACATCTAAATTAACTCATAAAAATCATAAATTGCATAAACAATTATGAACAAAACAGCATCATGTATTTATGCATTGCTTAATCCAAAGAGCCGAAGCGCCGATCACACAGACTGCATTTAAAAACATATGGGACGCAGTGAAAAGGAATAAACCTCCACAAATTCGTGACGTGTTTTCTAAAAGTTTAAACTGTTTTAACTTTGCATGGCTCTCTATACATCTCTTATGAGACGCGAGTGCAGCAGTTGTATGTCAGTCTAAAAATGCGTTCTGTGTGAATGGCTTGGTTTCGGTTTTAACCTAATCAAGATCTTCTCCGCATTGAGCTTCTATATTTCTCTAATATTTTGAATGAATAACGCAGCAGCGGCACGTATCGTGGGCTAGACTAACAAAACATTAAAATACAACAACGTCACTTACATCATCATCACCGCATCTCGCGCGCCACTAATGACGCTCCCTGACGCACACCTAACATTCAAATGCAAATGTTTATTTTAAATTCGACTAATATTCATTATTTATTCACAATCTCCTCATCACAGGCAGGCACAGCACTCATTTCAGCATGTGTTCGTGTGTGCTGTCTGCGTCACCCATAGCACGTGCCTATATCGTGCACTATATCGAACTATTTTTCTATCGATATCGAAGAAGGTGTACCGTTGATAAATAGGCCTAGATGACATATAAAAATTAAAAATAAACGAAACATTGAGGCTTTTTTTAGCAAATATGTGACCCTGGAGCACAAAACCAGTCATAAGAGTCAATTTGTTGAAACTGAGATTTATCCATCTGAAAGCTGAATAAATAATCTTTCCATTGATGTATGGTTTGTTAGGATCGGACAATATTTGGCCGAGATACAACTATTTGAAAATCTGGAATCTAAGGGGGCAAAAAAATCGAAATATTGAGAAAATCATCTTTAAAGTTGTTCAAATGAAGTTCTTAGCAATGCATATTACTAATCAAATAATGTTTTACATATTTACGGTAGGAAATTTACAAAATATCTTCATGGAACATGATCTTTACTTAATATCCTAATGATTTTTGGCATAAAAGAAAAATTTATAATTGTGACCCATACAATGTATTGTTGGCTATTGCTACAAATATCCCCCAGCGACTTAACACTGCTTTTGTGCTGCAGGGTCACAGATGTAGGTAATATTCACTCTTCTCCACACATACAGAAATATACTGTATGCTTCCGGGCACTGAATTGATTGAGAAGGATTCATCTGATTGAGAAAGTAGTCACATTTAAAGGTTTACATGGCAAAAAAAATTATCTACACCACCCCAAAATCGAAACATTTCATTTTTCAGTCCAACTGAATCATCAAACCAATTAAAATTGTATTTTTAGGTTGCATGTAAATGTAGGTAGCCTGAATTAATACATGGAACTTTTTCCACATCAGATGAGATAAACCTTATGAAGAAACGTCTGGAAAAGTCATACTGCACCCATTAATAAGAAATTAAAGTGTTTTTGTGTGTGAGAATTTTTATGACAATTGACACTGTAAAGCTTGACATATTAAATTATATTTGAAATATATTAAATAAAAGTTTGTTTTTTTTAAGTTTGCATAGGTGTTTTTTTATTGAGTATCATATTTGATTAGATTTTTAAACATCAGGCTTTTGAGGCTCATATATGATATATTGAGAATACAGAGCTAATAGTCAAGAAGGAAAAAAAACATGTCAATTTTATCCTGAGACCCAAACTGACCACAAATATGCAATTTAGTGCAGATGCTGATATTTACAAAATTTTATGAAATTCTGATGCTTGTCATTTAAATCAATGAGATCTTACGTCACTCTATATCTCCAATAACATGTCTTAAGATGATATTTAAATGCTTAGTTTGATGATCAAAACATATAATGCAATGCAATACAATGATGATTGAGAGATGAACAAATAAACATGATGATCATGTAAAGCCAAGCTGCTTCACTAAGTGTTTATCTTGAAATATTACTAACAATATCAAAGTTATTCTTATGTTTACTTTATAAAACTCAGTAAAGATTTCACAGCAAAATACATGTGAAGCACTTGTTAAAAAGTATAAACTATCAATCAGACAGGCATGTAGTATCTTGTGAACAACAGGATTAGCAGCAAAGTTTTGTTCAGGTTGATCATTTAGAAGCCTTAGAAATTTGTGTATCAAATGTGACACAGTTCAGGGTTTCCGTTTAAATTTTCAAAACTGGAATACAAAAAAGACATTCCCATTCTACTTCAGGCATGTACTTTGCAATGTGTTTATCTCTCATGGTGTCAAATGCAAAAAAAGGCTTTATTTTCTTTATGGCTTGTTATGCTTTTCTTAAATGATAAAATACGACCCAGGCATGTTTTTAGTGGAGATGTTCTGCATACCTTCCCTGGTTTGAGTTTGACCCACAGCTCATTGTCTGGTCTCCTGAGTTCAGCGGTGAGCTGCCTGTGAGCCGCGTACCAGCGCCGCACCTCATCATGAGGGACTGTGTTAATAACAGAACGGTCATAGTTATTATACCTGCAAAACAAGAAAACACAACTCAAACAAAACTGGATGAAATGCAGCAGAACCTTTAATTATAAAGTTTAATGTCATTAGGAAATGTATTTCCTTTAATAACTTAGCCCTCATTGCATTCAGTTCAGTTCTAACCATCTAGTACAGGAAACAAGTTTGCAAATGGATTAAAACTATCAAAATGCACTTTTTTTTT